ACCGCTAATTGAGAGAAAATCAGATTCATCTAGGGAAGAAAGACCAAGTCACCTTTAGGTATATCGGATCTAAGTCTGGTCCTGATTTCTAAATTCAAAAGACATAGTTATGACTTCAAATACTTCCTAATACAGCGGCAGTATACAAAGAATTTATGTGATCCCAGAACTCCGGACTCTGTCGGGATCCGTACGATTTGTCTCGTAAATGGAGACTATTTCAACCACCTGTTGTCTTCAGACAGCAGCTTTCCAAACATAGTTTGTGACTCATCCTTAAAAATGCCGTTTTATGCGCTTCCCCAGAGATCATATGGTGGTTTCTGAATATAATAACAAATAAACTGCCATTAAGAATGAACTTAAAACTCTATTTCTCTCAACGTGGCAAAGTGCCAACAGCAAGCTGATGATCGGTTGACATCTCTACTGCAGCCCTAGGGAACATCATCCGTCATAGACCGTCTTAAGTCAAACGATACTATTATCAAATCGATCATCGACTTCTTGCCCAGGCTTTTCCATATCAGATGCTGGAAGAATTTGCTCGTAGCGGAGAGTCCGTTGTCTCCACGTAAACGCAAAAAGCATAATGTCTTCTTTGTTGAGGTCGTTAGGGATGCTCTTTCGATTCACGGTTGTCAACGTTGCAGTGCCCGCTTGGACATGCGCAATGGGATCTCGCGCTACAGCCATGGCTTCTGTGGTCGACAATTCATACAGAGCACACTTTACTTCCGCAGGGAAGTCATATTTTCCCTCCAAAATGAGCTCACAGACCTTAACTAGGTCAATGTCTTAGCTTGTTATAACTCCTGCGGGATGATCGCCACTCCTCCGCTGACAGGCTTCCATTCAGTGATTTGCTAGTCATGTTTAGTGTTGCTAGAACACCAATACCTTCTGAGCGCGTGTCGTGATGCTGACATCTGAGTAGATCGCTTTGCAAAGGTTCAGAGTTCTGGAGTCCTGGCGTTTCCAATGCCGACATTCAAACTGTGTATTGCTAGTACCTTGAGATCTCAGCAGCCGTCTCCTGCTCTTCCTAACCCAGGCGATGACGGAACCAGTGCAACGTTACAACGTACCAGGAATACCATGAGGAGCTAGTGGTTACGTTTTGTAAGATACCTCGCCACGGTCCCCAACGTCCTGCTTTCTCATCCGGCGTGGCACTAGCAAGGGCGAAGTTGCAAAAAATACCAGGATGTAATGTACAAAGTTTAATGAGAATTTCGGTCCATCATCTGCATCAGTTTTAACAAAATGTCTGGGGAAACATTTCCACTTGATGGGGTGGCTCATGCGCGAGGCGAAAATGGGATATGGATAAACTGGATAACCGAAATCAAGAAATGGGGATAAAAGAACATCATCCATTCAAATACATGACTTGGATAGTCATTGCCGGACAACGCAACACAGGAGATTGTGCTTATCAGTTTGAAATATATATCATACTGATTATCATCATTGTTAAATAATCGCTGTTAAGCGTTGCTCGCATTCCTAAGCCACATATGATATGTACAAAACCGCTTCTGTAAAGCATTAAGGAACAAAAAACAGGAATTACACCTTTTGCTGACCATTGAATAAGCTATTAGATGAATTGAGAGCAATTGCAGTCGTATGATGCTCTCGCAACAAAGGACATGGCTGTATCCCTCGTCCATCCTGGAAAGATCATGCCAGAACATTACTCTAAGACAGAGATTTGGAATTCGCTTCTTGGCCGGTTTCATTGAAGGAAAATCTTATGAATTACATACTAAAGATAAGTATCGGATAAGAGAAATTCTGCCTCTCTTAGGATTTGACTCGGCACATTAGGAGTTCTAAGCGGTTTATTTTGTTTTTGTGCCACAGCTTCTGACTATCGCAAAGGAACGCAATTGATACATATTGTCATATTTGATATATTTTAAGATGCCATAAGGAATACACGAAAAAACTTGTCATAAACTTTATGCATAATTGTACAACATGCCAAAGTGATTCAAAAAATTTAATTGATTCATTTCTCCCTACAGTTAGTTGCTTAAATCAGAAACAAACATTCTGTACCAAAGCAGAAAGCTACACTAGAATGAATTTTAAAGAGTGCCACCGGACAGTCGACAAAATCAGGCATCATTCTTATTTTGGTAGTGGTTCCTGTGCCAGAGAATTAGGCGGTAATTGCTATGCTATGGCTTGGAACATTTTCAGCGCAGCAATCACCATCCTTATACTTTACATCATAACACTTCCATTTTCTTCCCATATGTCTTAATCATTTCTGATGTCTTCCAACTGCAAAAATTGCTGCATGGCTGCCGTGGAGGGCATCTTCATAATTTCCTACACAGGTACAGCATCCTTTGAGAACAGAGCTCGCTCAGCAGGTACTCTTTGCTACCTATTTGTAAATTTTATATCATTAATTTGCATTTTATTTTTAACATTATTTCAACGCAAATTTTTCGTTCGTCTGGTATCTTCCAAGAAAACTCTGGAAAGAAAACGTTTCAGTAAAACTGCTGAATCCTGAGCAACCAAAGTTTGGCTAGTTCAGCTTAGTTGACTCTATAGAGAACCTTGCGCGTTTTATTGTACAAATATTTGTGTAGTTTAATGTGCATCTCTCCATGTAATAGCGAAACTTGGTTTGAATGAACTTCTCCAGAAATTATGTTCAAATGCACTGGAAAGTACTTGGAGTACTTCAAGTACTAGAGAAACCTGCCGCATTTTTACACTTTGTTTTCGATTGTTACTTTAACACGAAAGTCCTTATGCAGGGAACTAAGCACTAATCTCGGCAAAAAGTAATGACTGAAAAATTGACAAAGCACCGTAGATCAAGCGATGGAATAGCCCAAGAAGGCATTGCCGCTTCAGCTGATCGATGTCAGTTTAGCCTTTGCCTTGACAGTTACTGTGTTTTAATCATGAGTACTAAACATAATCTCAGAAAGGATATGCACCTGAAATTTTTTATTCAGTGATGAATATCATCGCTCATTCAAACATGGGATAATATTAATTTACAAGTTTTGCTAAGGCTAATGGGTCAAATTGCCACTCAGTAGTCTTCAAAGCGACTCGAAAGACGTTGTTTTCCTTTCATTCCCAGACAGCATCTCCATCAAGTATCGTCTGATTCTTCCACACACCTCCCCGAAAGTCATCGTCTTCAGTTAAGACGACAGACGACACTATGGAAACAATTATCCCGCTTTGGTCAGGGTTTAGCATGGATGAGGTTTCCTATATTTCTTCCTGGATTTGGATTCAGTGTGTCCCTGCCAGGATGAATTGCTATAAAAGCATAAATACGCAAAAAATCCATTTGCCATTACCTCGGTAGCCTACACATAATGGCTTATGCATATTATCCTGAACGAGGGCACCCAGATCAAATCTTGAGGGTCATGACACCTGGATTCTGCAAACAGATGGATGTATATCAACTGTGTCCATGATATTTGGTGTCAAGTGCTGTGCGAAAGAACGTGGACGAATTAAAATAAGAAATGTCAAGCAACTTATATCAACATCGGAAGCAGACACAGCTGTGCTAAAGACGTAACCGTTATTAGAAGTAGCAAAATCTCTCTCGAAAGGTGAAACTATTTCTGGCTTAGTTCTACTAAGATTTTTTTGATTCCATTCATGATCAAAGGAACCAACTTTACCGACTACTTATCCGAAGTTACTTTCATGAAATGCACCTATTCTGGTGATTATTGTATTGACAGTTCTGTACAAGATGTCAAGTAAAAGCAGGTAGCAGATTCACAAGAATGCAGTAACAGTACATGGAGAATTGGTCTCAGGGGTTCCGTCAGAAATGGGGCTACTTACATCTCAAATGGGATGCAAAATAAAGCAGCAAGAAGACGCTTCGAAACTAGCGAAATCGAGTAAATAACAAAAATGAGGCAGAGGTACGGAAAATCCCTAGAGCGTAACTGAGGATGGTGTGAATGTGAGGTATAGACAGAGACGCTGAGAGATTAACGCCTACTAGGCTAACAGCATGAAGACCTTGGCTCAGATCGGAAGAAAATATGTGGAAACACACAACAGACAAATGTGGGCATCGCAATACGGTTGAGGTCATTTCCGCCGCCGCTGATAATGACCGGTCAAGGAATCAAGGACATTCACTCTTCCTGCTCACAGAAATCTTCGATTGCAAAAAATTGAGGAAAAATTTCTGTACCTTACCCATAGCATGGCGAATAAGATACGTACACGTTGCGCAACGTGAGGGAAATTTTTATCATTCATGTGAAATAAACTGTCAGCTGAGATTGATTAAAGATTAGTCTAAACCTTAATCTAGTTCTGCATGTGCATTTTCGTGAATAATGCCTTTCGTGAATTCGATGGACCTCCAAACCGTGAGAGTTCCTTTAAGTAATTGCAGGCAATTCGTCGTTCTGTCATTATCCTACATCTATCAAACCAGCCATTTTTGTCTTGAGGTCAGTGTTTTAGTTTCAAATGCATATATTTCAATAACGTTGGTCTATTAATCATCAGTGAATGTTATCAAGTCACTATTTCATAATGGCTTGATTTCTATCTTCAGTAAAGATTCGTCCCAAAGTAAAAGTTTTCAGCAAATCCATAAGTTCCGCAAATTGAAAAGCCTCAACGCTCCCAATTGTCCTCCGTGCGTAATCCGTTTTCCGACTTTCCCTCGTTATGGCAGCGTCATGAACCGAAGTCAATGTTCCTCCATTATTCTCACTTCTGCTCTTTCTGTCTTCATAGCTGGCTCAGCAATTTGACCACCGAATCGTCCCAGGATGTTCTTGGATGATCGACTCGACGTTGATGGTCCGGCGGAACCCAATTTGCAATTCTTGACGTCCATCAGCTGCATTTCAAACGAGCCACATTCCAAGCTCTTTCTCTCTTGTCATCGTAGAAAGCTAAAATTAAGATTATAATAAACAAGTATAACAGAATAAATGTTGTAATCAATTGGGAGAGATGAGGATGCGAATAAAAATTATTTGGATTACGCCATTGCGACGAATTTTCTGAGCCACGACCATTCAAAGACCAGCCCAACGTGTTTACGTCCATTCGTTAATGGCTATTGCCCTGATTTTTCACTCTGTCCCAAGATGAGTTGTTTTACTTTATGTAGAGGGCACATTAGCATGCAGAAATATTACGTCCGACATTCTTTATACTTTAATATGAACATGAACGATTACCGTAATTTTCCAGTTGACGACGTTGCTGGAACGTTGTTTTTGTGAACAAAATTACTTTTCAAGCAAAACAAACTTTATAAGCTTTCTTAAGATGCCATTGCAAGGTTTGTGACTGTTTTCCGTATCTACCGTTTCAGCTCTGGATTACATAATCTATCGTCATCCGCTGGTCAGGAGATCCAAAACTTTGGCTGCTACTTTCTCTTTACGACGCATTGATGATGCCACATTATGGTGGTTATTCATTGACATATATGAAATGCAGTGACTAACTAGCAAATTAATTTGCATGTCATCCATCTATATGTTACAGAAAATTTATTAGCATGAATTCGGTTCTACCTTGGCGTTATGCATGGAACCGTGGTTAATGATTGCTTTGTCATGTCTGTGCAGCGAATGGCTGAAAACGCATTGTAGAAACCCAGTATGGAAAGAATGGTCAACAAGACATGATAAATTGAAACAAATTGCTGTGACGTTGGATAACAGGAATCAACCCATCAGACAAAGGTGGAAAAGCTAAAATCGATTTTACACAGTAGCGTCATTTAAGTGGTGGATGCTCTATTACAGACAAAGTCAAAATCTCATGAGATGTATCATAAGCCTCGGCCACTGCAGATTCTCGATTGCGTTAATGATTGGCTGATTGCTTAATTCTTCGACCAATCGATTCATGCCTTAAAACAGAAGCTAACACTTGTGTAATTTCTGTTCAATCCTGTACATCGTGCTTCCTCTGCATAAAAGAACCTCTGCGACAGATACTTTGATTTGAAACAGCCTTTCAATCTGGCATTCTGATCGGCCTAAGTCATGCTAAGTGATTACTAGATACTGGTACTTTATTTTTCAACTCCTTAAACTATGGTCTGGGTAAATTATTTGCTACGGGATTGTTTCGCATGCATTATTTACAGTACTTTATTATCATTTGAAGAG